GCCAGGCGGCCGCCGCCGCTGCAGGACTTTGGCCGCCTGCAGGATCGGGTCGGCGGGCAGAGAGAAGGAGCGCGCGCCGCAGCGGCGACGGCGGCGGCTTTCCAGCAGCTCCTCCTGCTCCCAGGGGGCAGCCTCTTCCTGCGGGGACGGGCCCTCGGCGTCGGAGCTCGGGGCCGCTGACGTGCCGCCGCCGTCCCCGCCACCCTCGGTGCAGAGGACTCCCGGGGCGGGCGGCTCCTCGGCAGGCGGGGGGTCTTCAAAAGGCGCAGGTCCCGGCGCCTCCAAACTTAGCAGCTGCGGCCCCGGGGGCTCCATGACGCCGTCTGACCCCGGGACTTGTTCTCTGGAGACTTGATGCCTGGGGTGGTGGAAAGACCGCGCAGCGCCCGCCCCGGCCCGAGCGGAGAAGGCAGTCCCAGTCGGCAGGCTCCGGGTTTCAGCCGGGGTGCCCAGGCCGGAGCGGGAGGAGGATGCGGGCCGGGCCGGGGTCGGACGCGGCCGCTCGGTGATGCGCCTGCCCGCGGCGCGGGAGGGCCCGGCGCCGGGAGGCGCGGCCGCTGGGCCCGGGCGGGCGGGGTCCGAGGGCTCCGCGGAGAGGGGGCACGGCGCGGAAGTCGGGGCTCCCTCTCACCCCTCCCGCCCAGCGGGACCGCGCCCGCCCTGCCTCCGGAGCTCCGGGGTGAACTCGCGCTCAGCTTCCGTCGTCCTCCAGTCCGCAAAGTTGGCCCCGCGGGTCCCGACGGGCCTGCCCTCTGGGGGGTCGCAGAGGGTCTCCTCCCGGCGGTCGCATCGGCCCAGGAGGTCCCCGGGGCAGACGCACAACTGCGGAAAACTTGCCTGCGGGGACGGTCTCTTCCTTCCTCCCCAAGTTCTGGGCGCTCGGAAGTGGACCCGGCCAGGCGCGGGGGGCACTCCGACCAGTTGTGGGGCGGAGGCGGTGCTGGGACGCGCGGGGCCGGGGCCGGGGCCGGGGGGGAGGGGGGCCGCCGCCGGCCGAGAGCGACCGGAGGCCATTCGCGCGGGGCCCGGGGGCACGTCCCCGCTCCTCCCCTCGTCCCGCCCGCCGCGCTCCGAGCTCGGGCCTGAGCAGCGGGGCCCGCCGCTCGCCGCCGGCCTTCCAGGGACGCGAACCCGGGGGCGCGGGGGGGAGACTGCCCGAAGCGTTTTCTCGCTGTTGGTTTTGCTTTGCTTCGTTTCTAGGGCTGACTCCACCTGCCGCTAAGTAGGGGCTCCTCGGACTCTGGCGCGCGCCAGCGTCATCTGGCGGGGGGTGTGCGAGCTCTCGGCTGGGCCCTACCCTAGGGCTTCGGAGTCAGTAGGCCCGGGATGGGCCCCAAAGTATTTTTAGCAAGAACGTGCTGATGCCGGGTCCCCTTGCCGGGTGGGATCTTTCGGGCCTTCCCGTGCCCGGTGTGGAATGCCGTGACGGCATCTCAACTTGGGGACTTACAAGAGGCCCCAGATACACCTGGCTTGTCTGCCTGTTGGAACAACATCAAGATTTGGGGAAGAAGATGGCAACTCCCTGGCGGCCCGGTGGTTAGGACTCCGCGCTCTCCCTGCGGAGGTAAGCCGGGAGGTGTGGGGGGAAAAAAAAGATTTGGGAAAGAAGATCACTGTTTTTACATCAACGTGAACATTGACGTATTATGGAGTGAGGTACAAAATTTGCCAACTACCTTAAGGATGAAATAGGACTTCACAGAGACTGTGAGGTTGTGGTGAGCCTCTTGGGCTCCGACCTCACTGCGGCTGGAGCTGCTCCAGGGCGGGGACAGGAGGGAGCCTAACTTACTTAAGGAGGCCCCCCTCTCAGGGCCCTCGGGCCGTGGTCGCAGCCCTGTCCCACTCTTGTTTGGTGGGAACGTCGGAGGTCCCACCCTCGGGGCCCTCTCCATATATCTATTGGAGAAGACCAAGGTTAACCGGGTACAGAGAGAGTCAAGGTTAACCAAGGTTAACCAGGTACAGAGAGAGGTTACCGGGTGCAAGAGAGAGTCAAGGTTAACCAAGGTTAACCAGGTAGAGAGAGAGGTTAACCGGGTACAGAGAGAGTCAAGGTTAACCAAGGTTAACCAGGTACAGAGAGAGGTTAACCGGGTACAGAGAGAGTCAAGGTTAACCAAGGTTAACCAGGTAGAGAGAGAGGTTAACCGGGTACAGAGAGAGTCAAGGTTAACCAAGGTTAACCAGGTACAGAGAGAGGTTAACCGGGTGCAGAGAGAGTCAAGGTTAACCAAGGTTAACCAGGTACAGAGAGAGGTTAACCGGGTACAGAGAGAGTCAAGGTTAACCAAGGTTAACCAGGTGCAGAGAGAGGTTAACCGGGTGCAGAGAGAGTCAAGGTTAACCAAGGTTAACCAGGTACAGAGAGAGGTTAACCGGGTACAGAGAGAGTCAAGGTTAACCAAGGTTAACCAGGTACAGAGAGAGGTTAACCGGGTGCAGAGAGAGTCAGCCCCTGCAGCAGATGCTAAGAAGGTGGGATCCGACCTGGTCAGGGAGGCCAGGGAGCCTCTGTGAGGGAGGACACTGGGGGCAGCAGCAAGGCTGCAGGGGGCACCTTTCAGCCCTGCAGAGGCCCTGGGGGAAGGGGAGGGGAATGCGCAAGAGTGGCCGCAGGCAGCGCCTCCTTCCAAGATCCTTAAGGCAGCCTCTGACTATTGTAGCCGGCCTGGGGCTGGTACCCACCTTGCTCGCAGGTGTCCCACCCCTCCCCCACGCGGTCGGCCCCCTCCTCCAGAAGAGCTTCTGTCTCATCCGACCCTAGGAGGGGTTCAGGAATGAGCAAGTGACCCAGCCAGTAAGACGCGGGGCGGGGCAGGGGCGGGGGGCGCCCAAGAGGAAGCTTCCATCCTCTTGCCAAGAGGAGGCGCGACGGTGCTATAGCGCCCACGACAGTTGAGGCCACCTTGCCAACCCTCAGAGGTGACGCGATTCCTGAGCGTGGGAAGCACAGGGTCCTCATGAGGCACTCGGGTTTCTCAGTGTGAAAGCTACTGGCATTGTGAGCGGGACAGTTCTTTGTTGTGACCGTCGCTGCAAACAGTCCGAGCCCAAACATCCATGAGCCCTACCCTCAGAATGCCACTAGCAGCCCCAGGAATCGTGACAACGGAGAAATCCGTACCCCTGTTTGCAAACACGCCAGCTTGGGGAGTGGCACGGCCCCTCCGTCACTGAGAACCAAGGAGCTTGGTCTTTGGACCTCCCACCATGTGAGGTTTTAAAAATAAATAAATAAATACAACCTTCTGGTTCAATCAGCGTGACTGGGCTTTCTGCTGCTTGCAGACCAGTGTCCTAGGCATTATTATCATAATTTTGAAAGAAAGAGTAAATGGAGCCTCACAGAGGTCAAGGGATGTGCTCTCAACTCATAGGGGATAGAGCGGGATCTGGCTCCAGGTGTAACACCAGAGCTTGGCCGTTTCCTCCCTGTCTGCTTGCCCTCCAGCCACGTGGAAGTTTCTTTGAACTTTCCTGTTCTGAGTTTTCTCCTTCCCACCAGCTTCCCCCAAAAGAACAAACCTGGTTGATTTGTTTGGTTGGGGGGAAAAAGAATGAACGAGCAAACAAACAAAGGTTAGGATATTTATGTGGACAAAAACTGATATATACAGAACACATCTCTGTGTATGCCTGGCGTATCTCTGGAAAGATCTTGTCGACAGAGGAGTGGCTCTGGGGAGCCGTACCAAGGGACTGGGGGCGAGAGGTGGGAGGGAAACTCGATTTTCATGGAATTCTTTGTCTCGTGCAGATGTCTTGTGCACAGCCCTGATGGAGGAATCGTAGCCTGCTGTGGCACCACTGTGCACATCTGCTACGTACACTCCAGACCCCTCACCTGACATCATGTGACTCCATCTGCTTTCACATCCTCCTGTCTAGTCCCCTTCAGATGACATTTTCTGCACAGCTCCCCTAGGAACCCCCTGGGCTGATGTGAGCCGAGGCAGCAGGGCCCCAGGCCTGCCTGAGAAAGGGCAATTCTACCTGGTTTACATACTGGGCTTCGCCAAGCTTTGGTTTGAGCAAAGCATTCCACAGCAGAACCACAATGTCACCATCACCATCCTCACCATCATATTAAAACCAGCACTCTAGAGGACGCTCT